ATAGCCTCAGTGCTAATATCAAACTTTAAGAAACTATCCAAATATGGAGTTTGAAATAAAATTATATTGTGCTGACTACTGTTGGGGGGGGGGGGGGGGGGAAGGAAGCTTTATTGGATAATTGATAATCCTTTTTTATGCAAGATATTTTATTATACTTGGATTTGCCTTGTAGATTTATTATGAGACTTTTATTGTACTTGGATTTGCCTTGTACCTTTATTAATAACGCCCATTCACCAAAAAGATTTGGACAGAATGCCCCCTGCACACGTAGTAAAGACTATACATTATCTACTATTTGTTCTGTCAACATCTATAAATGTTGACTTATATCCACTATATTGATTCATAGTTCATCCTGAAGCCACGACTGCCTCAACAGAGCTCAAATGTACTGCTTTTCCAGAACACACCAAAGCTAGATCTGCACCAAGCTTAGAAATCCAAATTCCTGGAGCACCTGGATGGCTCAGTTGGTTAAGTATCCAACTCTTCATTTTGGCTTAGGTCATGATCTCATGGTTTGTAGTTTCAAGCCCCACATCAGGCTCTGCACTGACAGTGTGGGGCCTGCTTGGGCTTCTCTCTCTCTCCCTCTCTCTCTGCCCCACCTCCACTAATGCACTTGCTCCCTCACTCTCTCTCTCAAAATTAAACATTAAAAAAAAATTTTTTTAAGAAATCCAAGTTCCTGCTCTATACCTACTGTTGTTGGACATCGCACATGTTCAAAACTGAATTTGTAGTCCTGCTCCATACTGATTCTTCCTCCCAAGACTGTACTTCATTGAACTGTACTGGCCTTCATTCCCTTATTTCTCCTCTGCCCCCTTTCAGGTAGATTCATAGAGAATAAATGCAAAGAACCAAAGGGAGATGAAATACTAGCTCTGTTAGTGCTGGCACAGTAATTTCCAAAGTACAAGCTTTCCTGGTATGAAACCAGAAACATAGCACTGAAGACAGCTTGGCATGAAAGAGCCCACCTAACTGACCACTTGGTTTCGGCTATGGATACTGCCCTCCCCCACTGGGGCTTACTACCTGGAGATAGGAAAGTCAAGGCACCCCAGGCATAAACACAGACAAGTCCAAAAGGATTTTTAAAAAATTGTGCCATACATGAACAATGACATTCAAAGTCACCCAAAAGATAGACCTGGCCCATGACTGTCATGCTCTGGTCCATCTCATCAGTCAGATTAGTCACTCCTCATCTGAGCTCAGGACACTATGCTTGTGGGAGAATCTGTGATGCACCCTCAGCCTCTCCCTTCTTAGCCAGGGCAGCAAAAGTCCCTTCTTTGGGACCCTGAAGAGTAAGAACAGAAGAATCCCAGTTTTAACATGTTCTACCAATCCCCGGTGATCCAAGCCAAGTACTTGGGCCTAAATCTAATCTACATCCTTCCTCTGACTTCCTCATCATCCTCTACATTCTATCAATCATCAAACCCTAAAGTTTTACCTCTACATATTTCTCCATACATCCTTTTCTCTCCATCTATCCTACTTCAATCCTATATCCAGGCCTTATCACCCTTTGCCAACACTACAGTAACAATTTCCTAGTTCTTTCTGATTTGTTTTGTTCTATTTCTAATCTAATCTCCACACTGTAGCCAAAGTGATCATTCTGAAACTCAATTTTGATTATGTCACTTTTTGACTGCTTCCCGTTAACTACAGGATAAAGGCCAAGCTCTTTAGAAGGTTTTACAAAACACTTCATGACCTAGTGCCTTTCCAAACTCACCTGCCCCATATCCCCTGTCCCACACTCATGTAATAGTAAAATGCTTGTAGTTTTTGACAGTCACCTTGCAGTTCCAAATCTTCATCCCTTCCTTCATGTGATTCCTTCTGTTTGAAATACCCTAGAGTCCCTGTCTTATTTGGTTAACTCTGATTCAATCTTGAAGATTCTGCTTAAGACATTACCTCCAGGAAGCCTTCCCTAACCTTAACGCCTATTGCTTCCTGTCCTGCTCCCTCCAGGCTAGAGAACTTACTTCCCTTCTGTACTCACTCTGTGAATCGCTCCATCATTGAATTCACTACCCTTTGTTGATATTTATTTTCATGCCTTTCTTGGGCAGGGGCCATATCCCCAGGAAATAGACTTCCAGAACTTGAGATAAATTTGTGGACTTAAACTGAATTCCTTGTTTTTCCAAATTATTCATTCCTTAATTTATCCATGAATTCAATAATAATTTACTGATAAATTTCATGAGTATGTCCCACTCGACTCATCCACTTTCTTTTGGCTGAGTAATATCCTAATTTCCCAAATACCTTTGGCCTATGTGGAAACCAACCATTTTCCATCTTTAGAAATTCCAAAGCATATGAAGATCATTTGTCACCCATTTCCAAACTGTGATTTGTTTTTAAATTACTCATTTGAATCACTTTTATATGCTTCTTGTTCTGGTGACATAACTGACTGATTACACTGCATCTTTCACAGATATGGGCTGACATAAGTGATGTGGAGTGACAGTCTAATCCTCTGGAACCGTCAGACTACTGCTTTCTCTTTGCTGGCTTCCCTCTGCAGGAAATGCAAATTGTAAAGGCAGCCATCAGAATTAAATACATTTTGATAAATAATAGCCTAGTAACATCACATTACTTTTACAACAGGTCTATTTTTTAAGTTTATTTATTTATTTTGAGAGAGAGAGAGAGCAGAAGCAGGGGAGGGGCAGAGAGAGAATCCCAAGCAGTTTCGGTGCCAGCACCACAGAGCCTCATGTGGGGCTCAAACTCACAAACTGTGAGATCATACCTGAGCCAAAATCAAGAGTCAGATGCTTAACCAACTGAGCTGCCCATGTGCTCCTATAACAGGTCTTTGAAGCCACTCAGTTTCTTCCTGCTTACTATTGGCTTTAGCTGCTAATGGGAAAAGATTTTTTTTTAATCAAGTTAATAAAGAGTCAAGTTTAAAGAGCTTTTATATAAATCTTATATTTTCCAAAGGAAATCTCAGGAAACAAATGCAGAAACTTAGAAGGTGGGCGGTGGACAGTCTATGGAAGTCTAAGCACAGCAGCTAGTCTGGGGGCACTAGACTTGGGAACTGGAGAATAATGAAAGATATGAACTCTCAGGGCTTCTGGCGATGATGATAATGAGCAGCCCAGAGTGAGGGAGGGTGGAGGGGAGCCAAGAAGGACAAGACCACAGAAATATGGCTTCTATTTAGCTATGATTCTCCTACTACAATGGGCCCACTCTTTAAGGAAAGATTAAGATTTGTATAAACTACTTCATGAAAAGAACTTTAAATAATAATAAGCTAATTGGTTAATTTCATACTCCAATAACTAAATTAATAAATACTCTACCCTAAAACCTTCTGGAAATATATTAAGCTAATACACTTTTTCACACTTCCACAGAGAATCAAAATATCTAACAACCAGTCCAGAATGAACTAGCCAACCAAAAAGGATGCCAGGCATCAATATCAGTAAGGCCATCCTGGAGCACAAACCTAAATAGAAGCCCTGAATGTATACACAATTGTACAAGTAACAGGCATCTCTTCCTTGCCCTGCAAAGTTCCATTCTGGATTTCACTTTGGTTTCTTTTCCAAGCAACAAGAATGACTAGTGATAAAAATTTTTAAGGAAAATCTGAAGTTATTCTTGTGTATATTGGCTTTTTTGCCTGAAGCTAAAAAAAAAAAAAAAAAAAAAAAAAAGCTCTAAGAGTTTCTGTCTCCATTTTCAGCTTTCTATTTGAAAGACCCTAAAGGCCAACAACAATACCCCTACTCCTGGACCCCTGCAATCCAAAACTTGCTTCTCAGAATAGAAACTAAAGGAAGTCCTGAGCTGCTCCTTCCCCAGTCACCTGCTTTACCAAATCCTACACTTCTCACATATCTCTCCAAGCATCCAGCACCCCAGCAATTTCTTCTTTTTTGTCTTCTCTTCCAGATCTTCTTTCAAATCCAGTCTTCTGCTCATAAGCTTTTTACATTATTCATTTCCCTGCCATTCTGTCCTTTAGAAATTCCTTGGAAGATTGTAGCAATTTTAGGATACTTTGATGCACCTGTCACGGAACTATAGCTTCCCACCCCATTTTCCAGTGGGAGCACTTGTTAAATGCTTCACGTCAGTCATTGTCTTGGATGATTTACTTATGTCATTTCATTTAAACATTACAATGCAGTTAAACATTATTCCCACTATGCAGGAAACTGGGAATCAGAAAGGATGAGGAACTTGCATTGATCACACAGGTAGTCAGCAGGGAAATCAGATTTTGAACACAGGAGCCAGTTTGGTCCAGTCTCATGTCCCGTCTTACTCTATGTTTCTGCTGTAAAAATTTTTAAAAAATACTAATAAAAGTAGTCAAAGTTATGCAGTCTGGCCCTTGACTGACATTTTTCAAAACTCACTCAAGTGTTTACATCTATGAGAAAAAAGACTGGGTCACTACTCCACATTTTCATACTGCTTATAAATCTCAAGCCAACAGCGCCCTAAGCTACCCTAAACTTGAGAAAAATGTTAACCAAAATAATTTTTGTCTATTACTACTGAAGGGAAATAAGGTATTAAGTTGATAGATTTCTGAGGTATACTGCCATTTATTTGAATTAATGCTCCATTAGGTATTCAGAGAGTATAAAACGATCAATAACGATCAGCTGGAGGTTAAATGGCAAATCCAAAAGCATTCTTTTAAGAGTTGAAGGAAGTTCTTTCTTTCTTCAGATTTAAGAGGAGGAAAAAGGTGCTTACAACCAGACATGGGCCCCAAGAAAAGAAGGGGGACTTGTTTCTGCTCAAGGTTGGTGCATGTGTGTGTTGGGAGATAGTTGTCACATGGTGGGATCCAACTGCATTCAGGTAGGTTTAGAGGGCTCCTCTGAAAAGGAAGGAAAGCATGGGCAGAAACTTACCCACTCTCTAGGAGTGTGCTGATTAACTGTGAACTTCATGTAAGACTGTATTATTTTCAACCTCAGAAATATTTACCAAAAAATCAGGGACCACGACCTCCTGGACAAAAGGAAAACTGTCACAGCACTGAAAGCAGGAGAGGACCGGGCCATTCTCCTGGGACTGGCCATGATGGTCTGCTCCATCATGATGTACTTTCTGCTGGGAATCACACTCCTGCGCTCATACATGCAGAGGTAATGCCATTGGGTGGTTGGGACACGGTCGTTCGTCTTCTCCTTCTCCTTCCTCTCCCATAGCTTATCAACCCTAAAGTCCTCTTCCTCACCTCCTTTCCCAATAATAACTATTAGCAGTGACTGGCATGTAATATTTTTAATAATGCTACCGAATAATAATGATAAAAATAGTACTACCTACGATATGCAGGAACTTCCCTTCCCATACATGACTTGCTTAACGCTCACACATATGTTATAAAGGCAGTATGATACGAATATGCTCCTTATAAGAATGGCAAAACTGAGGCTCAAGATAAATCTAATTTGCCTGATATCACACAACTCTAGCATATGGCAGAGGTAAGATTCAAACCCCCATCCCACTAATCCCAGAGTCCCTATTCTTGCCTCTTCACACCTTTGTTCTCCACCATCATTCTTTTCCAGCCCACACCCCTCTTCATCACCCCACATGTCAGTGGTTCTCAACTGCACATTTAAACTTCCTGAGAAACTTTAAAAAATACTGATGCTCAGTCACCCCTCCCCCATCCTCCCAGAAGGTCAGATTTAATGGCATATAGTAGGACCCAGTCACCAACATCTTTCAAAGTTCCCCCAGGCAATCCTAACGTGCTGTCAAGGCTGAGAAATACTGCTATGCATCAACTTTTAACAGTAGCAGATTTTGAACTCCTTTCATTTTAATATTTGCCCTAGGTTTACTGAATAGATAGGGAGGCAAATAAATACTGAGACAGCAAGTGTATTCCCCCTGAGTAAGCCACATGATAAATCCCCACAGCCTCTCTAGCTAACTGTTGTCCATACATTGGACACTTTGAGCACAGGGGAGACCAGCATTGCTGTAACTAATGGGGAAAGTCTCACAGTGGTTTGGCTCAAAGGAATGAGGCCCTTTCAAATGAAAAATTGAGATTTTGATCTGAAAGAGAATCAAACCATTTTGTGGCATTCATTTATCCACCTAAATTAATACTTTCATTTTAGAAGCAAAATCTAGCTGAAAGACAGTAATTTGCTAAAATTAAGGCATCATCTTTCCCATTTGTGGCTGCTCTGCTCTGTGTCTCTGATGCCTTCAGCTGTGCTCCTTCTCAATGAAAGCGCTGATGCCTCAGGCCTGAGTGTTCACTGTTTCCAAAACCGCTTTCAGATCTTCACATCTGTGCTTAGAACCATCTAAGACTTTTTTTTCCCCTTTGTATAAGCAAAATCTGACCATCCACATCCTAGGAAAATACAATTTGCCACGCCAGAGGGGGTCAGGGCCAGTAACCTGCCTCCGGCATAAAGCTGGACATGAAAAGGGAAGTCAACACATGTCCAGCAAAAGGAAAGGGTATTCATCTGTGACGAAAATGTGCTGTTTTCCGATCACAATGGTAATCAGCTTATACCCAGAGGCAAAACTTTGATTGCTTGTGTGTCTCTTTTTAATCACAAATGTTACCCTTGATCATAAAATTACATGTATTTTAGAAGGAAAACTGGCCAATGGGCAGCTGGAGGTTTGTTTACTTTTTCTTTTTTGATCTTTCTAATAGAGGTTCCCAGGACACTGACATGAACCCATTATCTCCATGGAAGGGCCTCTCTTCCACTGTGTTCAAAGGGTGTCAGCGCAGTACCACGGAATAAGCCTGGGCCTTAGAGAAATGCCGGACTGGGTAGAATCGCCATTTCCATCGCTTTACTAGCTGTGTGCCCTTGAATGTTTCCTGATTTCTCTCTCAGTAAACTCACCTTAAAAAAATTCAATACCCAACCTATAAAGTTTTGGAAATGTATACAAAACACCAGTTAGGGTGAAGACAGATGCTACAAGTGATTGGTTTTGGTACAATGAAAGGGTGGAGTTATCTTTTCTCCCTTATTAGAAAGACCATACAAAGAAATGTATCACTGACCTCGTATCTATCAAGTTAGATGTCAAGTCCGCCCACCCCTCTGCCATCTTCCCTCCGCTTCTCTCTTACACCTCTGCTACCTACAAACTAGGCAGACACTGCAGAGGTGAGGACTGGGGTGTGACGGCTGACAAGATAGGAATGCAGGGTGATTACAGGTGTGATATAAAAGATGCCTTATGCGTACCAGCGAATTTGATAAAAAAAAGTAAAAATCTAACTTAAATCAAGCATTGGATATTATAGTACATCTGATAGAAGTCACTGGAAGTTTTCAGGTGCCAGGCAGTTTATCCATCTTTATATTGTACTTTGCCTAAAGCTGCTCAATTCAAAGGCATAAACTCTAACAAATAGATTGTACGATAGATTTGGATTCTTCAGGTTAAGGAGCTAACAGATGATCCCCTCTGATTATGCCTTCCCCGCCCTTAGTGTCTGGGCCTGTGTTTATTCTCCCCTCTCTCTGTAGCGTGTGGACTGAGGAGTCTCAATGCACCTTGGTGAATGCGTCCATCACAGAAACATTTAACTGCTCCTTCAGCTGTGGTCCAGACTGCTGGAAACTCTCTCAGTACCCCTGCCTCCAGGTGTACGTTAACCTGACTTCTTCTGGTGAAAAGCTCCTTCTCTACCACACCGAAGAGACCATGAAAATCAATCAGAAGGTAGGAGCTTGGCACACACACACACACACACACACACACACACACACTGCATTTCGGTCACCCCCACAGAGCTCCTGCACTCGGCCCTCTGAAGTCCTCCCATGCCGGCATTTCAAAGGAAAATACCACTGGAAAGCGGGCCCTGCCTCATCCATTCACAGAACTCTGTGACTCTTGCCTGGGAGACATTTATTTTCTGTGCATGTTGTGGACAGATCATTCCCCCATTTTGTGGTAGTGTGGATTTACCCTTTACTTTCATCTAGGAGAGTAAACATTCTATCATTTCTACACAAATAGACTAGGTCGTTCAAAGCAAACATGCAGCTTAGTCCAAGTGGTACAAGCCAAAACAAAAACAAAAAAACAAAAAAGAGGTATTCGTCATATACCTGAGAGCACTAGGGTAAAACTGCCTTTTGCTTGCCACAGGGACATAACTTAATCCCTCAGAGCTTCAGCTTCCTTTTCTCTAAAAGGAGAAACATAACAATGACCATCTTGCAAAGTCATTTGGAGAATCAGAGCTGTGTATGTAAAGTGTGGAGCAGACCATGGTGCTTGGCACAGGGGAGACCTTCAATCCATGGTCACGGTGTGTGTGTCTGTGTTTCTCTCCTCATATGCACTAAGTTCAGAGAGGCTGAATTTTCTAGCACCGATATATTCAACTCCACAAGGTAGATGGACAACAAAAGTGTATTGTGTGAAAGCTGTCCAGAACACTTGCATTTCTAAGGTCTGAGATGATGAGTAACGTGTCAGCAGGACCAACCTGCTATTATCAATGTTAAGTTAAATATATTGAGTATAGGATTTATGGTAGCAATTTAGATATGCCAAGACCACCTGATGTCACTCTCCAGTAGGATAACTGGCTCTCATTACTAGGATACAGCCTCATGAACCGTACTGTTTCTGTAAAAACTTTTATTTCCATCACAATTATCAGCACCTAAATGATACAGGTTATATGTATTGAAAAAAAATGCAGTAGTTTGGAAATTAGACACTAGAACATAGGACCTGTTTTGTGTTATATGGACACAAAGTAAGAAAATCCACCTTGCATTTTGGCCACAATAACTTGAAAGAATCCTTGCAGATATCTCTGAGGACTGAACATAATGAATATTTCAGAGACCATCGTTTGAAAACGTCTGCTCTGATTTCCTTTCGTTTGTGGCAGCTACAAGTAATACCAATCCTAACCCTGTTCTGCAAATACATAAAGCTTGGCTCTTGCACAAGTGTTTGTTTTTCAAGATCTTCCCTCAAGTCAGATCTTTAAATCAAAACTGACCTGTAATGGCAAATGCCTATAAAACTCTCAGATCTCTGTGGAACTGGAAATTGGCCAAAGTTGAAGAGGCATCAAAAAGTAGGACAAATTTCCCTTTCCTCATTTTGACATTTTATCACTACAGCCCTGTGAATTCATTATTTAGGCTATAAACAGGGAGTGAACCTACCATAGAAAGTCTCAGTTAAAAATTTAGGACCAGTATCTGTCTGTTGTCAGCATGATACTAGGTCATTGTTTGGTTTATTTGCCCCATTACCTTGTTTTTAACCATGGATTATAACATACAGAAACATGCAAGAAATCAAAGAGTGCAGCTCAAGTATTTATCACAGAGACCACCACAAGGGTAAAGAAATAAAACATTTCCTACACCGCAAAAATACCCCTCACGCACCCTCTCAATAATAGGCTGTCTCTTGCCAAAGATAACAACCATCCTGACAATACGGTAATTACTTTTTTAAATTTTTCTTTGTAGTGTCAGCACCTAAGCCTATATCCTGAAACATTATCTTTTAGTTTTGCCTGGTTTTTAAACCTGATATAAATGGAATTATACAGAATATTTCCCTTTGTGTCTGACTTCTTTCACATAATACTTAAGTTTGTTAGAGCCATTCCACTTGGTGAAGGTTCATTCATTTCCATTACGGTATCATATCCCACTGTATGACCATGCCACTTTATTTATCCATTCTACTGTTGATGGACATTTTGAGTCCTGTACAGTTTGGGGCTATTACAAATAATTCTGCCATGAATATTCTTGTATATGTCTCTTGGTCACAAGCATGCACATTTCTGTCAGATATAAACCTGGGAATGAAATATCTAGATCAGAGGGTACACACATCTGAAATTTTTGTAGATAATATCAAATGGTTTTCCAAAGTGCCTGCCCAGCTACACTCCCACCAACTCTAAAGACATGAGAGTTTTTATTGTTTCAAATCCTTACTGACATCACTATCATCTGCAATTTTAACTTTAGCTAATGTACTGATATTTCTTTGGGATTCTGATGACTAATATTGTCACATTCCTTTTCATTTATTTATTGGCCATTTGGATGTTCTCTTTTGTACAATGTCTGTTGAAGTCCCTTGTCCATTTTTCTATCAGATTATTTCTTCTTCATATTCATTGTAGGAATTCTCTATAACTAGATATGAACCTCTGTTGGTTACATGCATTGTAAATAACTTCTCTCATTCTGTGGCCTTTTCAATTTCTTCATGATGTATTTGAATGAAAGAGCTTTCTAATTTCAGAATAGACAAATTTTTTTGTCAGTCTGTTTTTGCTGTTGTGGTGGTTGTTGTTTTGGTGTTTGGGTTTGGGGGGGGGGGGTTGGTTTGTTTTGTTTTTCTGGTATTTTTTTGTCCTGTTTAGGAGTCTTTACCTATCCTGAGTTCATGAACTCACTCTCCTAAATTATCTTTGAGAAATGTCATTATTTCTCCTTTCACATTTAGAATACGATCTGCCTGGAATTGATTTTTATGAAAGTGGTTTCTTTCCACTGCCCCCACCCCACACACACCCCCACCCTCCAGCCACCACCTCCCACCACCACACCCGCCACTCCCCACACACCCTCACCCCCTGGCTTCCCAAGACTTTATTAAATTCAAGTTGGTTAGCATAGAGTATAGTATTGGTTTCAGGAGTAGAATTTAGTGATTCATCACTTACATGTAACACCAAGTACTCATCACAAGTGCCCTCCTTAATGCTTATCACCCATTTAGAACCATCCCCCACCCACCTTCCCTCCAGCCTGGTTTCTGGGTTTCTCTTTTTTTCTCATGTGGATAGCCATTTGACCAAGTCACTTTATGAAAAGACCACATTTTCCTCACTGGATTATTTTATAATCTCATTCCCCCCTTTTTTTCTTGGATGTTATCTTTTGTATTAGTATTCTTTTAGGATTTAGCCTACAGATTACAACTTGTGATCTTGACTAAGGACATTAAAACATCTTAACTCCTACTTACTATCTTCCCAAGGTGTATATTATTATTTTATTCTATATATACTTTTTTTTCTTAATGTTTATTTTTGAGAGCGAGAGAGACAGCACAAGCGGGGGAGGAGCAGAGAGAGAGGGAGACACAGAATCCAAAACAGGCTCCAGGCTCTGCGCTGTCAGCACAGAGCCCAACATGGGGCTCGAACTCACAGACCACGAGATCATGACCTGAGCCGAAGTCAGACGCTCAACCGACTGAGCCACCCAGGCACCCCTTCTATATATACACTTTAAATTCATGCAGACATTATTATTGTTTTTGTAGGTGGTAGATATTCATTTAGATGTGTCCTCATGATTCTCTATTTTTATTATCATTCATTCCTTCCTTTATCTCTGTTTTTCCATCTAGGATCATTTTTCTACTACATAAAGAATACTCTTTAGTATTTGCTTAGTGCAGTATCTGCTCTAACAAATTATCTCAGCTTTCATTTGTTTGAAAATATTTTTATTTCATTTTTATTCTTGAAGGATACATTCACTGAGCCTGAACTTGGCTGTTATTTTGTTTCTGCACATCAGAAACATTCCATTGTCTTCTGGTAAGCTTTATTACTATTTAGAAATCAACTCTCAGTCTAATTGCTGCTTCTTTGAAGCTAATCTTGGTTTATTTTACAGATCATTTTATTTGGTTTTCTATAGAGTAACTCTTAAGTGGCAGAGAGTGCATTTATTTTTATTTAGCCTGCTTACTGCTTCCCAGGGCTTCTTTTGCTGTTCCTTGATGTTTTTCCTCAATTTCAGAAAGTTCTCAGTCAGTATTTCATCAAATATTCTCTACTTTGATTCGCTCCTGTTTCTCCTTTTGGCACTCATACTGGCCATATCTCTCTTTTTTGTAGCTATCCTCTGTTTAATCTCTCAGTGCTTCATCCCCAATACTGACCTATCTTCTAATTTGTAATTCATTCCTCAGCTTTGACAAACCTACTGTTAAACCTACCCATTGGGTTCTTAGTTTCTCGTATTGTATTTTTCATTTTGGGAATATCCATTTGAGTCTGTTTTATCATTTCTAGTTTTATGAAATATCTCATGCTTGTCTTTTAAATCCTTCAACATTAAAAGTAAAATTATAGTTATTTTAAAGTTTATCTTGATGACTTTAATATCCAGAGACACTAATGTGTTATTTTCTTTTCTTCTCTTGTATGTTTTCATGTTTGTCTTGTAATATCTGGTTATTTCTTATCAGGTGTCACATTTGCAAAATTATTTATAAAAATAATTTTAAGCCTGGGATGATGTCATGATGTCATCTTTTCCAAATAGTATTTCTATTTGTTTCTGCCAGATTCCTGAATGTATGAGCCATACGTGATCATGTCATTCTGACTTCATAAACTGAGATATACAAGTCTGAATTGAAGTCTTTTGGAGATATACTTCAGGTTGCCATTATTCCTAGAATGCAGTCCCTTCAAGGTCCCAATACAGTGAATGGGGGGGGGGGGGCATTGGGGCCCCTACCTGATAGATCTTCAATGATGGTTCCTGCCCCTACCTCTGCAAGGCTGTCAAAAATTCTGTTCGGCTTTCTAGGCTTTCAGTCCCCTTCTAGAATCAGCACATACTCCCAAAGGAAAGGTGGCACCAAAGGTGGCTCACCCTTCTGGCCCCACAGCTCTTCACACTCTGGACAGCTGTCCTCTG